TCCTCCAAGTTTTTCAATGAAATTTGTTGATCGTTTTCCATCACTTGAACATATTGAACTTCAAGTTATTTCGTTCGACGATTGTGTGGCTATTATCGATACATTTCTTAATCATCTGAAAAATCTATCATATCTTAAAATTAATTATTTTGAAGATTCACCACTTGATGATCCATTTTCACTTGAAAATATTATTGAAAAACGTCGTCAAGCATTTCCAATGAATATTATTGATGAACAACTTATCAATGTCAAAAACGATGAAGAAGTTATACAGATTTGGTTAAAATGATTCTTTTGTGTATATTGTTTTATTTGTTTAATAATAAATAATAAAATAATCGTGAAATTGAAAATGTCTTTGTGTGTTTAGGGTGTGGGTGTGGGTATCAATAAAAAAAAGATTTAGACCCATACTCTCGAGATGGTGAATTCGTTCTACTTAGCTTTGCTACTATTAACCACCCGATGAAGATGAACTTGAATGTTGTTACAACTGGATGAAACGCCTTTATATAGTTGATTAAAATAAGATAGACATGGGAGGAATCTCACTTATTATTATGTCTTAAGGATGAGACAAGGAAGTTGAAAAGAAAGAAAAAAGCAAGATACGTTTCTTATCTTACATTAAGATAGACATGAATTTTGTTATTTGTCTTGTGATATGATATCATATATTTGACTCTAGTAGTCCTATAAACGTCAGAGGCATCGAGATGAAAATGGGTGGATATGGATATTAAACCTAACATCCGCACACTCACCCGCATCATACAGAAGTTTCACTATATACGACTTCCAAATTTGTATTGGATTCGTTTGAAAGTAAATGCGCCATCGATTGTGGCTGCTCAACATTACGAGTTTTAGATTGAAACGAAGGAAAAACACTGAATAGTGTCGGTAGTCTAGTTGGATGCCATTTATGCACAAACAAACAAATTAGACCAGTCAGTGCTAGAATAAGGATGATAACAATCAATACACTAAAAGCGACGTGACGTGTTAATCGAGTAGATTCTTCTGTGTTGTTTCTTGTTGTTGTATCAGTAGAGGAGGTTAGATTCAACTGTATGAATTCATGTAGCATAAAACGTGATCGACGTGGATAGT